AATTTGATGGTGCCTACACTGAGTTAATGTGAAACCACAGATGGAAGGGCCATATCCTTAATCTGGTCTTTGCCATAGGCTGAGTTGATCTGAGTTCAACTGAAAAATTTTATTGGTTCTTTCCCACTGAAAGCTCTTTTTATTCTTACTGTTTGGAGTTTAGAAACAGTCAGGCTTTCTAAGACTTCAGTCTGAACCCTCTGTATTTTTTTCTTTCTACTTCCAAATAGCTAATTCTTTCCCAAGTGCTTCTTTTTCTTACAATATCTTGCCAAAGGCAGTCAATAAAGCCTCACATGGATTTATTCCAGCCACTTCTCCTAGGGCTATAGGCTGCCTGTGGGCTGCCTTTCAAATTATCGTGGGTAATCCTTTGCCAAATATTTTTGTTTTACTCACTACATGAGTCACCATATTTCTAGCTCCTGAAATTAGTTTTCTTGTTTTCTGCTGCTTGACTGCTAAGTCAGTGCTTCATATTTTGAAAACTTGTTATTGAAGCACCGCCTTCATGGTTCAAATCTATGCATTAATCAAAGTAGGCTAACTGCTATAACAAATATTCCTGAATTTCAGTGGCCTGATACACTAAAATTTTATTTCTTGTTCATGTCACAGCTGAATTCTGTGAGTGCCCATTCAAAGATCCAGCTTCCATCTTCTCAGGCCTCAGGTCCTCAACTAAATCCTCTGAATTTGGTAAGAAGAGGGGAAATAAAGACAGTGTGAAATATTGGGCAGGAGAGTCTGTTTTTAGGACATTACTTTCTGAAAGGTCTACATTCCCCTACATCAAGCTGCAAGAGAGATTGAAAAATATATGTATTGCGTGGAGCACTGGGTGTTATACACAAACAATGAATCATGGAACACCAAATCAAAAACTAATGATGTACTGTATGGTGACTAACATAATAAAAAAATTTTAGAAAAAGACTGAAAAATATAGTCTAGCTGTAGAAATCATGTTGGTGAAAATTCAGCAGTCTCTAGCACAGCAAAAATATTAATTTTAAGGGACGCCTGGGTGGCTCAGTCGGTTAAGCAGCTGCCTTCCGCCCAGGTCATGATCCCAGGGTCCTGGGATCGAGTCCCACATCAGGCTCCTTGCTCAGCAGGGAACCTGCTTCTCCCTCTCTCTCCCTCTGCTTGTGCTCTCTCTGTCAAATAAATAAAATCTTAAAAAAAATAATTTTAAAAATTAAGAGAGAAAAAAACCATACTCTCAAATACAGAGAATAAACTGGTGGTTACTAGAAGGGAGGTGGGTGGGGGCGTGGGTGAAATAGGTAAAGGGGATTAAGAGGACACTCTTTTGATGAGCACTGAGAAATCTATAGAATCGTTGAATCAGGGGCACCTGGGTGGTGCAGTGGGTTGACTATCCTACTCTTGGTTTTGGCTCAGGTTTTGATCTCAAGGTTGTGAGATCAAGCCCCACGTTGGGCTCTGTGCTCAGGTGGGAGTGTGCTTGAGGTTCTCTCTCACTCTCCCTTTGCCCCTCCCACTCATGCTCTTTTCTCTCTCTAAAATCAATGAAATCTTAAAAAAAAAAAACAAAAAGAATTGTTGAATCATATATTGTACACCTGAAAAAAAACTGTAGGCTGAGAAGGTGTAGGAAACTAAGATCAGGAATGAAGAAGAAAGAGAGGAAACAATCCAACCCCTAAGAGGTAGCCCATAGTACAGTGACCCAAGGGCTGGGGACTTTTGGCTTGGTTCTGGGAAGCACTAATATCTAAGGGGATCTAATTCAGAGTTGGGGCAAGATTGTGGCTTAGCTCCATAAAATGAGGAGGCATTTGGCTACTGCCAGTGGTTTGGAAATGTGCTTTTATTTTCAAACTCAGGTATGTGACACTCTATAGTTCAATGCTAGCACACCTGTGTGAGGTTTAACAACATTAGGAACCGACAGCCAGTGATACAGAAATCCAGTATCTCCCTCTCCATTTACTCTGCCAGGCTGTACACAGAGAATGATATATATGGATTTTGTGGCAGCCAGAAAGTGAAGGCCCTTTAAGGAGGTGATATCAACAATGACACAAACTACACATCACTGAAACTCAAGATAGGCACCCAGAGTCCTAGGGCTAAGCAGAAATGTCAGACTTCGGAGGCATTTTGAGGGGAACTTTTATTTTAGATCAATATCACTGTTGGAAAGACAGGGCCCATTTCTCTCCATTTCACTGCTGCTTTAGTAACATTCCACCTGCTTCAGATCAAACTTTGCTTTTCAGAAAAGAAATGCCGATGAGTACTTTTTTCAGGAATGCCCTTGGAAATGTGGTTACTGTTACAGTTCTTCTTTTCCTCAACCTCTCTTACAGAGTACTTTGGGTGAGGGCCTATGTCTGGAAGTACTCTTGCAGGCTTTTCTGTGGAGCAGCTGGAGGTTCAGGAGCTCACTGTAGTTGTTCTCCTGCCTTTGTTTTAATTGGTAACAAAGGTGGGAACCCTGTAGCCAAGGGGACAGTGGGCCAGCTCAACCTTGTCCTTCTTTAAGGGAGGCTGAGACTGGACGTTGCCAGTAGAGAGTCCTGCTCCACAGCTACTGTCTCTAGAACTCCATTTGCATCCTGCCTGTGACTCTGAAGGCCTAAAAGATTTTTCAGTGTGTCCAGACCCCTGGTACGTCAGGGAAAACCATCCTTCCAGGCCCCCAAAGTCCCTCTGCCTTGATCTGCACCTCTTTACCTTAATGGCACATTCTTGCTCAACCCTGGTTTGGGCTTCACTCACAGTGGTTTTCCAGCCACTGTGAAGGATGCCCCCCACCCCACCTTAAAACAACATGCTGTTTTACAATAGGGCTGATCTAGGTGGGTCTTTCTGAAAGGAGTGGTTGCATCAAGCCCAGTCCTTGAGCTTGGAAATGGTGTTTCCAGTTAGGTCTCATTTCTGCTCTTTCCCAGAGTAGACTGAAAAATAATAATAATAGAATAAGTTGAGACTAATAAAGATATTTTTCTTATTGAGATAGTGGCAGTGATGGTACTGGGACTGGGAAGTGTGCAAAATGTCAGCTGTCTCTAGGCTGCTCTCTACCACCTTGAATTCTCACTTGTTCTTTTGACCAGCATTTAATGATACCCTCCCATGTATCAGCCACCATGCTAGGTATTTACCCCAGAGAATGGGTAAGATATTGTTCTTGTCTTTGAGGAAAATAGTAGGGGAGATAGACACACAAAAAAAGTTATTGTGATATACTGTCACAATTGTCAATAATTAAGATGTTTAAAAAGTGTCAGAAAGTACAGAAGAGGGTGTGACCTATTATGTGGGGTATGGTAGGGAGTTGGAGCAAGGTCATCAAAGCTTGTATGGAGGGGATAATTTCTGCACTTGGTTCTGAAGAGTAACCAGTAGAAAAGAGGAGAATGGCAGAAGAAAAACTGGTGAGTAGAGGAACAGAACTATGAGAAAATGATTTAGTCTGGGAGCCAGAAATAATCTGGAGTGGTTGAAGGGCTACTTGGGGAAGTGGGACTGAAATGTAAGGCATGCAGTTAGGAGACCACTGGAAAAGGCAATTTTTTGCAGGGGCCAGTCTGTATGGACTTGAGTTCCAGGCCCATAATTTACTAACTGGATGTACTTGGCAAGTCGTGTTTTTGTGCTTCAGTTTCCTTATCTGAAAATGAGGAGATTAGTACCCACCTCATAGGTTTTTCCTTTTTTTTTTTTTTGGATTAAATGAATTAATACCTATATAATACCTAGAACAGTGCTTGGCTCATAGTAAGTTCTATATGAATGTTAGCAACAAAACAACATCAACAACAAAACAAAAACAAGAGCAGAACAACCACAATAAAACCCACAAGAAACCAACACCCCCCAAAACTAATGAGGGATGAATGAAAGCAGTGGCTGTAAAGGTAGAGGGAGAAGTCAAATTGGAGATGAGATGTGCTCCTTCAGTTTTATGCTAAACAATTATGAATGCTCTGAAACATACTTGGGTTGGAAATCCCGTTTGAACTAAAGCACTAGGGTGCAACTGCACATTTGCATGTGGGCACACAGGAGCTGAAAGCACACTTTGTCTCCTCCTTCACCTGAGAGGTGGGTTAACTGCTCTCAATAGGAGAGGACAAATAGGGAATAGACCGTGTTGTACAACAGCTTAGAATTAGCACTTGAAATGGAGACCAGCAAGTTCACTGTTGAAACCATGAGTTTTCAGTGTTTTTCAAACATCTTAAATCCATGTGGAGAGCTCATTGAACAGGTGCCTGGTGACTGCCCCACACCTAGTGAAAATTCTGTGGGTTGGCTTTATCCAGAACACACACTGAGAGCACATGTTTGGAAGGTTGTTGGCTTCATGCACATGCATGCTGTGTGTATGTATGTGTTGTGTGTGTATACAGATGCATATATATTAACTCACATCTCCCCATTTCATTTCAAGCACTGGTCTAAATTCAGCCTAAATATTTTTCTGAGAAACCTTTCCTACTTCTGTAAAGAGAAACTCTGGTTCCAAAGGGGAGGAGGGGAGGCTGAAGGAGAGTCTGAGGATGAGATGGAAATGGGATGATAGTCATGTTGTGACTCCAAATTCTAGGTCTGATCATCAGGGTCAGTGTTAGCCTTTGAGAATAATTAATTCTTCTTGATTTCTGACTACAGAGAGGTAAAAAGGGAAGGGAGAGTGAGCTTCTTACTATCTCCTGCAGTGAAGGTGTTTTATTTTCCCCAGCCATCTGAGCTTGGGGCAGATGACTTTCCCTTCTATTAGAGTTCCTTCATAAAGGTGACTTCATCCACCAGACGCTTTACAAGGGCAGTTTTGTTGATCCTCCAAGAACATCAGTTTCTGTGTATGCATAGCTCCCACATGGGTGCTGAGTGTGAAAGAACCCTGCTCATTTCCTAATGGGCTAGCGGTACCATGCCCACACCCGGTCTGAAACACTATGCTTGGGGAAAGGGCAGTCAGCTGTGTGCTGGAGCAGGGTACTGACTGGGTGTCAGGTTTCCTACTGCTCTGCAGGTTGCTCATGCTGGAGTCCTGAGCTCCACCACGAGTCCCTCTGGGCTGCTGAGCAAGTGGATCTCCCAAGGGGCCCATCAGCCTGCTCCACACAAGAGTTATAGGAACTGTAGAGCCCCAGCACAACAGTCAAGACCAGCATCACTGTGGCCATCATCCAGATGACTTGCCAGTGCTGACACAGTTTGGGATACATGACTTGTAAGAAATGAACCAATTCTTCAAGTTTGCTGTCAAATGAAAAAATAGGAGAAGGATTTAGTATATTAGGCACATTAAAATTTTTCCCCAGGTGATTTTAATGCCACCAGTCCATAACCTTGATGTTGGGAGCTACTGGGCCAGAACACTCCTTTTACTTGTTTGATCATTCATTCATTCATACATGCCCTCATCTATTCATGAGATGTTCATTGATATCTGAACTCTCTCAGTCCCCAGGACAGAAGGTTGGCTGACCCATACTCCCATGCATGCAGATGGGACCAGCATCTTTTCTGCACTTAGTGGTATATAGTGATCAGTTTCAAGTAATCTGTCCCCTGCCTTCATGTTCTGATGCATATTTTATTGTCCTCAGTTCCACATCTGACTGTGTTCAGAGTAGAAGAACTGTCCTAAACCCCCAGAAAACTCTCCATGTTCAATGCTAAATGACAAGGAACCAGATCAACCTCAAGAGCTCACTTCAAACCACCCCAGGGGCAACCAGAGGACTAGTAGCCTCCAGCAACCTCCCAGTGGCTTAGTCCAGATGTTTTCTCAACCCCAGTAATCTTCACTCCCTAATTTTCCTTCTTCCTTTTTCTCCCTTCTTCACTCTCCCTTTTCTTTCTTCCTTCCCTTTCATCTCCCTCCCCCACTCCCATTTTTTGGCTGCTTCACTTCCTTTTTCCCTCTTCGTCTCTTCCCAACTGCCTTTCAACTTTCCCTCTCTCTTTGGGGTCTAGTGGAACAACGTTTGGTCATATGGCCTGCTTTGCAGAATCCATTCTTCAAGCTCTCTAGTGAAATCCTGAACATTTTCACTAGGCTAGAATTTTTTCCTATTTTTTTTTAAATTTTATTATGTTAATCACCATATATTACATCATTAGTTTTTGATGTAGTGTTCCATGATTCATTGTTTGTGTATAACACCCAGTGCTCCATTTGGTACGTGCCCTCTTTAATATCCATCACCAGGCTAACCCATCCCCCCACCCTTTTCCCCTCTAGAACCCTCAGTTTGTTTCTCAGAGTCCATAGTCTCTCATGGTTCGTCTCCCCCTCCGATTTCCGCCCCCTTCATTTTTCCCTTCCTGCAAGATAGGGAGATAGGAAGATACTTCTTTTTCTTCTTCTTCTTCTTCTTTTTTTTTTTTAACATATAATGTGTTATTTGTTTCAGAGGTACAGGTATGTGATTCAACAGTCTTACACAATTCACAGTGCTCACCATAGCATATACCCTCCCCAGTGTCTCTCACCCAGCCACCCCATCCCTCCCGCCCCCCATCCCTGCCGCAGCCCTCAGTTTGTTTCCTGAGATTATTCTAATCCCTCATCTATTTTTAAAAATGGAGGAGGTGAGGAAAATGACAGGAGGGCTTTCTGAAGATCTGGAGGCACACATAGACGCTGCAATATGCAGGCCATTTGCTGAGAAGTAGACAGCTCTAATTTAGTCAGTAGAAAAAAGATGCCTATGACTGATGGAAAGACTCAACAATACCTTCCTTGGAAAGGGACCAGAGGCTCAGAGTGCCTGCCTCAGATGCTAAGGTACCAATTGGTTTTTCTTCCACATGGGACCCATTTGATGATTGTTTCAGGAACAGTTAGGCAAAGCAAAACAGTGAGCACTTAGCTGAGGTGAAAATCTGGTTATTTTCACAACTGTTGGGAAGGGACAGCTTGGAAATGGAAGCTTATTTTCTTTCAGCCCTGTTTAGATTCTTTAGTTTCTACTTAGGTATAATTGGATGCTAAAATGCAGTCTTTCTTTGGGGCTGTATTTCCGTGCTCCAAAACAAGCTGCTAGAGTAGGGAAAATCCCACTGTCACCCCACTCTGAAGTGGGACTGCAGAGGAGGAGGTCAAGATCTGGCTTTGTGAACCTTAGCTGGTCCCCCATTTCTAGCCTATGAAAGAGTTAGAAATAGAATTAGATTAGAAATAGAATCTCTGTGGAAATCAATTTTCGATTTTTGATCTCCCATAGGGAGGGGTGAGGTGGCTTCCTTTTCACCTGGGCCTAGGGAAGAGGGGCTTCAGAGATGCTGTTTGGAGAGCTCGATATGTTGAGGTTTAGGGGACACAGTGGACTGGTGCGTGCCTCACACATGAGCAGTTGGAAGAGCAAGAATCTTGCTGACTTGCTTGATGGCATCAGAGTGGTGGGCCATGATAGGGAAAGCTGTCCTTCTACCAATAGTGAGCCAAAGGTACACATTTTACCTCAACTGATTGTAGTCAGGAGAAGGAGAGCTGACATGGGGCATCACAGATCCTGCCCAGAAATGCTACTTAGAAGCTGAACAGGGAAGGTATACTTCCAGCTGCCCAAGGACTGAGAGGGATTTTAAGTGGCTAGCTAGAAGACTTGCATCTGATCTCATAAAGGGACCAGCAGCTGAGAGGACCTCAGCCATGGTGTGAATGTGTGTGTATGCTGGGAGATGGGAGGAGTGGTTTTCTCTAGAGGTCCCATAAAGCAACACACTAACCAAAGTCAGCAAGTCAGCTTTAAACCCCTGCCAAGCCCTGGAGCCTACTCACAATCTATTCAAGTAATACCTTCCCAATCCCTTCATCTCAGTTCCCTTTCCTAGCATTGATCCTAGAGAGGTCAGATGCTGCACTGGCAAAACTGGAGGAGAGGGTAGAAGTGCAAGTGGGGTAGAGAGAAAGAAGCCACACTCCCCCTGCCTACTACAGGCTTCTTTCCTGAAGCAGACAAACTGCAGGAAAAAAGAAGGTTGATCTTTGTAAGTTCAGGCTTTTGACTATTTGGGGGAACTGCGCATTTTAATTAATGAAATGAGATTATTCTTGGGACTTAAACTTGACCAGAGGACTTCTGCTTTCTGAGAGTTACTGGAAAAGTAAAGGAATCTGCCTAATATTGTCTAAACTCCATAGAGCAGATTTAAACAGGCAAATGCCAAAATTTAATGGGGAAAATCATGTTTGAGTGCAGGTGCCTGCAGGCAACTGTGTGTCTACAGAACTCAGGAATGAGTGAGGGGATTGCCTGGCATTAAAGACAACAGGCTCTTAGGACCAGTCTGGCTTTGGTGACAGAGGAAGGGACCCTGTAACTGTGAGCGGGCAGTTCATATGTTAGCAGTGTCAGTTGTTACGGAGAAGATGATGCCTCAGTACTGGGCCTGAAAAGGGGAAGCTACAGCCCTGTAATGAAGGACGAGGACCCTTCTATGTGCTGATGTCTGGTATTCATCACCTGAGGTACAGGCGTGTTCTCAAGATCAAAAAGTAAATCCGAGAGGAAGCAAAGGTCAGGAGAGAGAACGAGGCCTCTCAGGATCAGTAGGACCAAGAGGATGCTTTGGGCAATGGATGTGAAAGGCAGCCATTGCTATGTGCTGAGGACCAGGAGCTGGACAGAGAGCCTTACTTTCCCTGGTGGTTTCACAAAATGGGAGGGAGCTGTGATTAGCAGCTCAGATTTGAGATCAAGTTAGCTAGATAAGGATTCCAGTCTTGTGCTTTGTAAACTAGACTGTTTATATTCCATGTACTCTGTTTAGTTCTCTTTTGTTCTTTCTGAGTATGTGGAAGTGTTAGAAGTTCTAGCTTGTCTTGGCTATATGCAAAGAAGCCAAAGAAAGGGCTGTTGTCCAGGTCTGGGCTTGACTGCATTAAAGGGGAGGAAGATAGTTAGTGACCTCTAAAATATAAGAGCAAAGGACCCCCAAGAAGGAGAGAAGATGTAAGGAGAATAGGAATCCAGATGCTTGGAGTAGGGACTGTACTTTCATTGTTAAAACTTGGGGATTCTTGGGCGCCTGGGTGGCTCAGTTGGTTAAGCAACTGCCTTAGGCTCAGGTCATGGTCCTGGAGTCCCAGGATCGAGTCCCGCATCGGGCTCCCTGCTCGGCGGGGAGTCTGCTTCTCCCTCTGACCCTCCTCCCTCTCATGTGCTCTCTGGCTCTCAGTCTCTCTCTTGCAAATAAATAAAACAAACTAACAAACAAAAAAACTTGGGGATTCTTTCATTAGGGGAGGTGGTACATCCTAGCATAGGTTTGCTTTCAACAGTGAAGCATTTTCTCCAGCTTTCCTAGACCGCTCTTCCCTTGAACAGTAGGGTTGACCCAGGTAGGCTGAGACCTCTCACTCTGGCTGAATCTTTCTCCAACTGGGCTCTATTGGCTGTTCCTATGTGCTTTGAAGCATATCCATCTCATGTCTAATCTTCATTTTATTACCTTATTCACTGCATGCATGTGATTTTGAGTCTGCCGGCAATGAGGCACAGACACATACCCTGTTTCAAGTTTAGCAGCTGATTAGACAATCATTTTGGCTGGAGCCACACTGGACTCCAAGATAGCCTGGGGTTCTAAAAACAAAGACTTTGGTGAAGTGTTCCAAGTTTTCTATAACCACATTTTTAAAAATCAAAATTGAAAACTAATAGTGACATAAGACAGAATGTATGGAATTGGGGCTATGGTTAAAATTCAAGACACTGATGAGGGCACAGGTATGGCAAAATGCAGGATCTATACTATCTTTATCTACATGTTATATATTTTCCCCTATTTAGGGAAAAATACACTTGAAATATAGAGTACATTAAAAAAGAAAAGCCCAACTTTTTCTAATCCAAGTGAAAATCCAAGCTTATCTGGTCAGCATGGAACCTGCTGGAGACTCGCCTTTGCCAACGAGTTGAGTTTTCCCCTACCCCCATGTGTTCTCTCTGCCCCTGTTCTTGTAAGAAACCCACACTAGGGCTTCAGGCCAGCTCCCTTGACCTCGGTTCTTGGCTCCTGGGGATAGTTGGGAAATGAGTTAACTGTGGCTGGGCTAGTGGGGGACTCCAGTCAGGGTCTTTGTAGTTTCTCAGCTCCCACGAGCTCTTGATTTCTGTTGGCCTCACTCTTGACCACCTCTGACCTCCCGGATCTTGCAAACATCTCCTTGTTAACTATTTTGGCTCCTTCCTCTGACTCCTCCCTCAACATGAGTGCCCTCCTCGGTTTCTGTTAGCTGTTCACTTGGGCCCCAGACCCACTGCTGCCCTGGAGTGGGCACCTTTAGGGATATTGTGCAATTAAATGAATTGTGACCCATTTCAGCAATGGCAAGGGCTCCAACCTGCTTCTTTGGTCCTTTTCCTCTTCCTCAGTTTCTTCTGCCTCTTCTGCTTCTTCAGGGCATTCACCCTTCTGTTCTTCTTCCTCCTCCTTCAGGTCTTGAAGCTCTTGGGTCTTCTTTAGACCTTCCTGGTATCTGCAGGGCAAAAAGAAACAACTGAGTCTGGAAAGGCCAGGCACAGAGCATCCTTTCCTGAGTTCCTAGATGTGGGGACTTGAACACCTCCAATAATTAAACACTTCCTGTGGTTCTACACAACAGGAAAAAGCTGGGAAGCTCTACTGAATCCCAAGGTGGCTCATGTCAGTACAATTTCCCCTCACTCCTCAGTCATCCTTCCTGTTTATATGTGAATGTGTGGCAAAACTGACAGGGAAGAAGTATGGGTGCAGAGTCCTGACTGGGTTCTTATCCTACAAAATGTTCAGTGGAGAGAACAGTATATCTGCTTTCTGTGTAGCCTGGGTACTTCAGCTTTTCACCTATAAAATGGAAAGTGTGGCCCCTATTTTACAGGGTGTGGGAATGTTCTGAGGAAGGGCCAGGCATATAGCTTGACCTAGGAAGGGTGATACCCATCACATTGGCTTGTTGGGAAGTTTTATGGAAGTGGCAGGCACATACGAGGCCTATAAAGGTACTCAGTAAATGTTTACAAAGCCAATCGAGGTGTTTACTCCCATGCATGCTTAGTATCAAAGATAGTTGTGGGTGAAAAGATAGGCTTCCCAAGAGATACCCTTCTGATGCCCTTCTCCCAGGATCAGTACTCTTTTTGCTTATCCTATAGCTGAATGTTTAAGACAAGCACAGTTTGGCTAGGGCAACCCCACTGCAGTATATATGGCTGCCACACAGAAGCTCACAGGTTCTATAATGATGGGAAGCTGTGTCTCCTTCAGGAGCTGTGGAGAAAGAAGAAGCTCAGGATGCTACGCCTGGTCAGAAATACTTCTCTACCTGGCTGGGCTTGGGCCCTGCTTAGTACTCTGTCCCCTTAGTGGCTGACAATGGGCCAAAGGTGTTATTCAATCAGAAAAGGGGACAGTTGGAAGTTGAGGGGACTCCAGTTTACAGAAAGAAGGGATGGCAGTGGCAGTTCTAGGAAGTAGGGTTACAGCTTCTCCTGTGCATTGTTGAGAGCAACATCACTCCTCTGAGCATGTGTCAGGAAGCCTCAGGCACCACCAAGAGGAACCCACCCAGGGGCCTTATTGCCAGACCATTCTGGGCAGTGGCATTCTGGTGGCTTTCTGCCTAAAAAGAGGGCAGTCTAATTATTGCCTAACCACACCCTCTCACCCTGCTTCCTCTTGTCCTTCCTGTGGAACAGTACTGTCCTTTCTTATGTAGTTCTTTATGGAGGTGAGGAGGTCCTAGGGCCACTGGTTGCTTCCTTAAATCCTCTAAGAAACAGGAAAGGCCCGTGGGAAGGTATCTTCTGAGACCTACCAGGTGACCTCAGGGTGGACGAAGTCTGACTCACCCCTTCTTGTATGCTTCCTCCTCCATCCTGGCCTTGGTCTCCTGGCTAATCTCCTCCAGGCAACTCAAAGTCGGCATGGGAGCAGAGGCTTCACAATCCGGGTCCCCATTTGTCTTTCCACTAGTGAGAAGAGGGAAGTACAGGGTGTCCTTTTAGCCACATTGGGTGTCTGAAAACCAAACCATGTCTTTGGCCTGATTCCTTTCCAAAAGTGAGGAAACTCATTCTAGGCTGAGTTCATTTCAATCCTTCTACCCTGAGACAAGATTTTATAAAGGCCGTAGTCCAAGATTCCTTCCTAGACCTCCAAACATAAAATAATGTGCTAGCTCCCTTTTTCTTCATGCACTCAAATCCACCTTTACTCTTATTCCATGAGACACTATAAGTGGACAGACAACTGTTGGGAACTCTATAGCACTAAGATGAGGAAGATGGAGGTGGGTCAAATGTTCAGTCAGTCATTCCATTCCTGTAGTCCATCTTTTGCTTCATTTATTTAAGTATATACTGAGTACTGACTAAGTCACAGGTACCTTGTAATATACTGGGGATACATTAGATGATAAAAGAAATAGTCTTTGCCAACATGGAGCTTAGCAGGAAAGAATGCCCAATAAAGGAAAGAAAAAGATATGTAGTTAATTACAAATTGTGATAACTTTTATGAAAGAGAAAAACTCTGTGCACTGCAGAAAGTAACAAGGGGAGAATCTACTTCGATTGAGTGGTTAGAAAAGATCTCTCTGAGGTGGTTTAACTGGAGCAAAGACCTGAAAGATGAAAAGTCAGCCATATCTATAGCAGAGGGAAGATCATCCTAGGGGGAGAATGCAGATGTGGAAGACCCTGAGACACAAAAGATGCAGAGATATTTGAGGAACTGAAAAGAGGCAATGAAGCAGTAGTTAACTTTTGGACAACATAAATTTTCAATGCCAGTGAAATATCCAGATGGAGATGTCAAGTAGGTAGTTCGATATACCAAATTGAGTTGGAGAAGAGCTCTAGAGGCTGGAGATAACATTTGGCATCATCAGAATATATATGACATTTAAAGCCAAGGGGATGGATAAGATTGTCTAGGGAGACAGTATGAGGAAATATGAGAAGAGGACCCAGGACCAAGCCGTGGGCATCTCTGCCTTTAGCTCAGGTAGAGAAGAAACTACAGAGGAGTAGCAGCCAGAGAGGTAGGAGGAAAACCAGGAGAATATAGAGTCCTGGGAGCCAAGAGAGGAGAGCATGTCAAGGAGGAGTTAATTGTGTCACAGGTTCACTTCTGAGAGTCCAAGTCAGATGACTATAGAAATCTGCAGATTATTAGATTTGATAATATGGAGGTCAAGAGGAGCTTTGGTGAAATGGTGGGAGCCAAAGACAGATTAGAATGGGCTTAGTAAAGAATGAGAGGCAAGAAAGAGGAAGACCTAGACACAGTAATCTGACTGAAAAGGGAAGTAGAAGAGTATGTTGTGGGATACATAGCTGAAGAAGTGGGTCAAGGAATGAAAGCACATTTGAATGTGGTAGAAGTGATCCCAAGAGGGGATGAGAGAAAGGGGATGACCAAAGGAAAAAATTCTTTGAAAAGAAAAGTAGAGACAGACCTTAGAAAGGTGGAGAAACTTCTCAGTTACAACAAAGGGAAGAAGGTGATGAAGATGGTGGGTTGGAGATCTCGTGAAAGAAGATGAGAAGGCTCCTATCTAATAGCTTAAATTTTCTCTATAAAATGGAAGACAAGGTCATATGCCAAGAGTGAGAGGTAGATAGGCCTAGGAAGGTTTGAGAAGAGAGGAGAAGGTGTGAATGAGTCATGTGAGAAGGGGGAAAACAAATATGCTAGAAAATCATAGGAGGATGGCTAGGCAGTGCTGGGAGTCCATTTGAAGTATGGAAGCGTGAGTTTAAAGGAAGTATCCTGATGGTCATGCCTTCCCTATAAATCCTGCAGCCCACCTAAGGTGTCTGGGACTCCTACTGGGAGTCATGCCATGGGAGGAGCCCTCGAACAAGGCAAAACAGTGAGCAAAGCTTTTCAGCCAGGACTCTGAAGGACTGCAGCTGCTACCCTCCCCAACCTCACAGGCTATACCAGTGAGCCTTATATTTTCTCATTCTTGGCTTCAGCTTCCCATCCCTTAGTTTTCCTCAGACCTTGTAAAATTTACATTTTATCAGGCTGGAAACCAAAACCCATTGTGAACAAGAAAGATAACACTCTAAAAATATCAGCTATTCATAACATTTCTCCTTTTGCAAATTATATTATCCACTCCCTTCCATGTGACCTTTGCCTAATGTGCAGTTTCCTATTTGTCCAAATGATTGGAACAGAGCAGAAAAACATAGCTACAGCCAAGGGCAGGGAAAGCAATTCTTTTATGAAATATATTTATATATTAGAAATGAAATATTGGTATCAGCCTTTTAATTTCTTTTATCTATAGCTGAATAACCTAAGAGGTTAGTGACAAATATGTATGAAGGAGGACAGTGGAGTGTAGAGGAAAAGAACCTGCCTGAGGCAAACATGGGTTCAAATTCCAGCTGCAATACGTGCAAATTCTTAACACTTCCTGAACTTTAGATTCCTCAACTGTAAAATGAGGGTAATAATATGTACCTGATGATGGTAGTGTAGGAATTAATGAAGAAATGTAAGTACACTTTTTGGAATATAGTACTCAACAAATGATGTTTATCCTCCTCCTCATCATCACTATTACTTATGTAATAAATTTACTGGTAAATTTGGGGAGCAATCTGAGGTTCTTCCAAACCTGATCCATAAAAAAATCCAAGCTGATAAATTACCAGGTGATTATTTATATCTTTAAAGGAGAACTTGATTTATATTACTGTGACACTTCAGAATCAGAGGAAGCCAAACTTCCACTATCCTCGGGTCACTGCTCTCTAGAGACTAAAACTTTTCTCTGGTACAGCCAGGAAGCCCATTTCAGTGACCCCTTAACATAAGGATCTTCTGTCCAGGGCCCAACTGTCCCAGGTTATATTGATCACCTTGTCCAACTCACTCACCTATGGGGCTTCAGTTCTTAACATGCTTTTACATACATTGCCTCACTTGATCCTCCCAATGATAAGAAGAGCTAACATTTATCTTATGTATCAGGCTCTGTGGTAAGATTTCACTTAAGACTCATGAATGACCCATAAGATAGGTAATACTATTGTGCTCAGGTTAGCAGGTGAGGAAACCAAGGCTCAGGGCTGTTAAATAACAGCCCAAGATTACACAACCAGTGTGTGGTAGAGTTTGGATTTGACCTTGGGTAATCTGACACCTGCCCATGCTCTTGACTGCACTAATTGCCACCCATGCAGGATATTATCCCATCTGTGAGAGGAGAAACCCAAGCTCAGGTTGATTAAGTGACTTGCCTAAGTTCACATTATTGGTACTTAGTGGGCCTGGCTGGGACTCTCACCTTGGTCTTCCAAATTCATGTCAAGATGCATTTTTCACACCTCCTTGAGCCCTCCCTTTCAGTAGGAGTCTTTTCCTGGGGCTCTGAGTGGTGTGTGGGGTTCCAGGGTATCTGCTGAGTGAAGCCATTCTTGCTGTTAGGCTGGGCCATGGCTTATGATGCTTTTTTTAAAGGGTGCTTGTTTAGAATGTGAGATGGGCTGGGACAGCCTTTGGTTTAATATTGAAAGTAGGGTGGGGAAGTAGGGGAAACACACAATATGTAAAATGTTTGCTGTTATCTCCTGATCCCTAGACTGAACTAATAGTTCCTTATATATCTTCTCTAACTACCTGGAAGTTTCTTGCTGTGTATCTTTAAAACTCAGCTCAAATACCTTCTCCTCTGTAGAATCTTTCCCAGTGTTTTCCCCTCTCCTACATCTTCTGGTTAAAGTTGATCTCTCCTTCCCTCATGTCCTCATTGCGCCTCTGTTACAGCATAACTCAGAGAGAGGGGATTTTTATGTTTTATATACCTATCCATTCCTCCATATGACTGTGATCACAGAGAGAGAGACTGTGCTTGAGTTATAATTTTGCTTAGCATACAGTAAGTGCCTTTAAGTGTTTGTTGAGTTACACTGACATCACTGTGGCTTATCCAGTCTGCCTATTAATCTTGTAAAATGGGCAGGTCCTTTCTGTAAATGGCTATTTCCTGAGAACCCAGTGTTTGGGTTGAGCTGAAGGAATCTCTATTCATGGCTGTAAACGTGGAGCTGAGCACGGCCTGTGCCCACCCTAGAGATTTCTGGGCCAAACACAGATGGATCTTGGCATCTATTCCCAGCCTGAAATCTTGCATGCTTTCTTTCTGGGATGATTCATTAAAATTAGGTTCATTGTTTTCTCATGTCCACCGGGTCAAAATTGTTTGTCATTGTGCTTAGTTCTCAGTAATGTTAGGGGTCCTTCAGTCAAAATGTATTGTTTAACTGAGAGTTATGTTAGAGTCTTTTTTTTTTTTCCCATGTGGTAAACAATATTTGAAAGTGACTGCAATTCTTTCCAGTGAGCAGATCTTACCTTTTTGGGTTCAGTGATGTCTTGATCACCTCAGACAAGTCCAGCCCAGGGGAACTGAGCTAGAAGACCTTCCTTACTCCTGTTACTCAGTCTAAGATTCTTGGGGTACACTACTAGTTGATGGAGGGCTAATTCATTTCAGAATACTATGAGCAAAGGGGAGTTCGCTATACATATTTGATGTCATACAAAACCTTTAGGCAATTTACCCTGGCTGCTTCAAAAATGTAGAAAAATGGTTATTTTAGAGATTATAGTGAAAATTTCTCTGTGATGCATCATTATAATTGCCCCTTTTATGAAATTAATGCCGTGCATCATTCACATCCATGGCTTTGCTAATCCCTCAGTGAACTGCTCTGTGTACACCCTCTGCTCCCATCCCACGCTGTACTTCATGCCCAGCCAGTCACCAGGTCATTCAAAATAGCTGGCAAGACTTCACGGCTGCCTGGGTGGCTCAGTTGGTTAAGCATCTACCTTTAGCTCAGGTCATGATCCCAGGGTCCTGGGATCGAGTCCCACATTGGGGTCCCTGCTCCGCACAGAGCCTGCTTCTCCCTGTGCCTCTGCCTCTCTCTGTCTCTCATGAATAAATAAAATCTTAAAAAAAAAGACTTCTTAAAAAAATAGCCCTTAAATGCATCCTCTTGTCTCCAGTCATACTGCACTTCTTTTCATTCTTCTAGTTGGAGTGTCTATTAAGAGGTTAGGAGCATGAGTTCTGTTATTTACTACCGTGTAACCTCAGGCAAGTGATTTCTCTGAGTTTATTTCCACATCTATAAAATAGGGATATTAGTAGTTAATATTAATAGTTAATATTGATATTAATACCTACCTCATGGGTGTATTGTAAGGATTAAATGAGATTAATGTAAAGCAATTAGAACAGGACTTGGCATAAAGTAAGCATGCTGTAAATAGTAATTATCACCATCATCTTTCTTTTTTTTTTTAGATTTTTTTTTAAAATTTATTTGACAGAGAGAGAGACACAGTGAGAGAGGGAACACAAGCAGGGGGAGTGGGAGAGGGAGAAGCAGGCTTCCCGCTGAGCAAGGAGCCCGATGTGGGGCTCGATCCCAGAACCCTGGGATCATGACCTGAGCCAAAGGCAAACGCTTAACGACTGAGCCACCCAGGTGCCCCATCACCATCATCTTATTATTTCTTAATTACTCCATACTTTCTCACTTCAGAGCCTGGAATGTTGTTAACCTCCAGTTCACTATATAAAACTTTCAGGTTTCACTTTATTTTTATTTATTTTTAAAGATTGTATTTATTTATTTGTCAGAGAGAGAGACAGAAAGCACAAGCAGGGGGAGCGGCAGGCAGAGGGAGAAGCAGGCTTCCCACTGAGCAGGGAGCCCAATGCAGGATTCGATCCCAAAACCCTGGTATCATGACCTGAGCCGAAGGCAGATGCTTAACCGACTGAGCCACCCAGGCGTCCCTTAGGTTTCACTTTCAAAGTAAATTCCTAGAGGAAACATTTTCTGAGGCACCCCTCCCCCACCTATACCAAATCTGGGTTAAGGTGCTCATTTTCTTGTCTACTGTTGCCTTAGCAGCCTGTACTTCCTTATGATATCATCCATCACATTGTATTATAATAGGCTGTTTCCCATCTGCTTTTTCCATCAGACTGTGAACTCCTGAGTATATTCTAGATACCTAGACCTTGGTGATTAATTGTCAAAAGAATGAAAGAATAAGTCTATAAATAGCTTTTCCTATTTATGGAACTCATCATGAGCTTTATTCTGTTTTAATCTTTAAGATTAACTTTAAATATTACTCTGTGTATTTTCCTCTAATTCTGCATATCCCTAGATCTTCCCTGAGTGAAGAACAATTTACTATGAAGTGACCTACAATAGCAACACTCAGAATTCTCTCAAATCACATTGGGCAATGCAATCAGCTCTCAGGTATTTGCTTGAGAGCTAGCCACAGGTAATTTGATCTTCTTATCAACTTTCACATGCTTAGCCAATTCCCTTCCTGCCTGGTCACTGTATACTTAGGGAAATGTGAAATCACTTTAAATCAAGCTAAATATAACAATCTAGAAAGCAATGTATATTAACTTATAATGCATTTTTTTCTCTTTAACAATATGGAGAAGGTAGCTAGAATTGACTGTACTTGTGTTGAAACAGAAGATAGGAATTTATTTTAATTCACAGATTGTCTCATTGTTAGCCTCTTGGCAATCTATTAATATTTCCAGTTTCATGAATTCAGATGGAAATCACTTAGCACCTTTCATAAATCCAGGAGGGGGAAGCTACTGTTAGTGTTAGAATCCCTCCTCTTTTGAATATGTCCTCCCCTTTTTGCAGCCATCTTTATAGGCTGGGTATATTCCCAATAGACAAGTCAGCCACAGCATGGGTAAAAATCATGGTAGTCTCTCTGGGTAGAAAAGAGTGAGCTGTAGATACCTTCCTTGAGCTTATTGCTTAACTTGTCTCAATCCTCACTCTGTCCCTGTCTCTCCTGGTTCTAAACTCTTGGAATGGTGATGCCACTATTGATCCTCATTCATTGTTGCTTCTGATTTGGGGTCAATGCTTGCTGCTCTTAACTTTGTATCTCACTTTCTTTTACCAAGGATAGCTCAGGTTCTTGATGATCTCCACTGCCTCAGATGGAAGCTGTCAGCTGGCATGAGCAATAGTTCTACAGAGTCCAGGCCCTGCTCCATCGTGATTAGAGTCTTTTTCAAAGAGTGAGGACATAGATCTTTGTCCCTGATTGGTTCTATAGGCCAAGAATAGAGAATGGGGCCTTGTTGGGGGCCCTTTTGGAGAAGAGGTTCGTGTACCCAAAGGCAGGATTGGAAGGGAGAATTTTAGTGTCTTCTCACTCAGGGCATCAAGTAACCATTTCTGGAGAGATTCAGAGATCGTGGAGTAAATATTATGACTCTAGGGATTTGATACGTCTTTGTAACGTTGGTTACTTCCGCATCATTGTTAGTTTTTCACCCCTTTACAATTTCTTTGTAATGATCTAGAAAATAAGGAAACAAAGATAGAAACAAAAATGCCCTACACAACATGAAGGACCTGTATGCTTACAGAGGGTGAGGTGTCAAAGTAAGGAATTCCTGGACAAACTTCAAGACTAAAGTAGGTGAGTCATTGAGTGATAGGTTAGTGGTTACACATACTGAGAGGTGAGTAAAACAGGCTGAGTCTGGGGGGTGGGGAGCTTGGGAGCTTGTCTGTACTGAAAAGGGACCCAACATAGACTTTCCTAGTCAGGTCAAGCAAAACTATTCTAACAGCAATGAAAAATGAAGGACTAAAGCTGTCTTAAGGCAAAGAAGAAGGAAGAATAAAAGTGTATATTCTACCAAGTGAGAAAAGACACAAGGTGAAAGTTCTGAGAGGTGACAGCTGTGATCCAGATGTTTTCCAGCAAGCAAGTGAAAGAATTTGAAAAGCAAGTTATAAACTCTTCTGAGTGTAAAAACAGCCTGCCTTGCTCTGGCTGAGGATGAAAAGACCTGCAAATTGCACAGATGCCTAGAAAAATAGTGTCTGCATGGCAGACACTATTCATTGCCACTCCAGTACTCAATCCTCCTACCTATTTCCTCACAGCAATGTGATTTTGCTCAGAAATTTACTCTTCTTCACAGAGCCACTTTGCTTCATGGGAAGCTGACTCTTTGTCCCCATCTCCCGGGCACGGTTTAAACCCATGATGACAATCCTATTCCCAAAGCCTGTGTTTGGTTTAGAAAGGAACTATGTTCCAGATTTACTAACAAGATAAGGGAGACTAAAAAAAAAAAGTTTCTGGGTTTGGTCATAAAATAAAAAAAAAGTTTCTGGGTTTGTTCATAAAAAAGCAGCATGGAAAGAGATAGTCCTCTTCTTCTAAATACTTCATGTCTGGATGAATACTTGAAAATAGTAGCCATTTGCCACAAGCCTGCTGATAAAGTCAATGTACAAAGTGGGCAGAAGCAAGCAAGGAAATTGTAGAGGCTGAGCTGGGGCCCTGCTGTACTATACCTGGAAAATCCCTACCTCTGTACACCCTCCGCTCCCATCCCACACTCTACTTCACGTTGGACTTACTATTTAAGCCCCTTCTGGTAGGGGCTTTCTTGTATCTGTAGCCCAAAGAATCCTAACCAAGAGAGAAGGTGTCTGTCTTCTCTGGGCTCTTCTGAGATTGAGGTACACTTGGACTCAGCCACAGCATCTTCCTGGTGCAGATTGCAAACTGACTCTGAAATCTTTGTGGGTCTCAAAGTCCCATGTATTTTCCTTAGAACTTAATTTGCTTTCCATCACATTTTGGGAGTGAGGATGGGAGGAAAGGTGAGTTAGGGAAAATTTTCTCAGAGAGCCCCAGAGTTAAGAGGAAGATCAACAAACTTACTCTTCCAAAAGTGCAGGCAGTGCTGAGGTGACAGGTAGGTTGCCTTTCCCATTGGGTGATTCTGACTGGATGAAAAACAGGAGACAGACAATTGAAGATCAGGTAGGAAGGAAGAAGCCAGAGCTGCTACGTCTCTGATGATGTGGGGAAGGGGCTGCTGCTGTCCCAGCTCTTCCCGCACTACCATGCTTTCTGATCTGCATCTGAACCCAGGCGTTGGGCCTTTCCTGTCCTCCATTCCTTAGTGCCCCCTGAGGCCCATGCAACTTGCACCTTTTCCTTTTCCTCCTAAGTTTTCCTGAGTGAAGAATTTACATTTTGAGGCCCCATTCTGGAGCAGAGCCTCAGTTTTTCCTCATTCTCAGGTTTACTGACTTGGACTAAATACCAGCAGGCCTCCTAGCAAACAGAGGCCCTTCTCTGCCCTGGGGATATAGCTCCAAGCATAATACTCAGGAGATGCCTGTCATTACTAAAACCCCCCAGGACTACGTCATTGTTTTGTTACAACAGATTTGGTTTAAGAAATGGTTCTCACTTCTGGCTGCATCTTAGAATCACTGGGGAAGATTTAAAGTACTGATCCAATTCAGAATCTTGGGGTGAGGACTGGGCAATGTTTTAGAAGTACCTTGTGTGATCTTAATGCATATCCCTGGTTGCCAACTTTTAGTCTAAAGGAATATACAGTTGACCCTTGAACAACATAGGTTTGAACTGTGCAGGTCTACTTATATATGGATTTTAAATACAGTACAATACTATAAATGCATTTTCTCTTCCTTATGATTTTCTTAACATTTTCTTTTCTCTAGCTTACTTTATTATAAGAATACACTATATAATACATATAACATGCAAAATATGTGTTAATTGACTATTTATGTTATTGGTAAGTCTTCCGATCATCAGTAGTTTTTAGGGAGTCAAAAGTTATACACAGATTTTCAACTGTGTGGGGTGGGTGCCCCCAACCCCTGCATTGTTCAAGGGCCAACTGCATGTTTGGAAATAATATTCTTACATTTAGTATAGTATTGGAAATAGGTCCATTAAACACACTAGCTAGACCTCCCTAAGCTCCTTTAAACAAAAAAATTTTTTAGGTTGTTTTAGTGAGTGATTTGGGAGTTTAGGATAATTTCATAGATGATTGAAAAAGAGGTGAAAGAAGCTATTGCTACATACTGGCACAATAGAGCTTGAATCTACTTTACCTCTTGCTTACACAATCAGATTGCCTTATAGAGTAGTGCTGGTCATGAACACAGAATAGAGAAGCAACTGAAGAAAGAATTAGAAAAGTTTTAAATAACATTAACTAGATCCACAAAAGCCTGGGATGTAGAAAATATTTTGTTATATAGGAACTGTGTATGTTTAAAATAATTGAAATGAATTTTTTTCTGATTATTAGCAATAGATTCATATTATAGAAATATAAAAAGCATCAGGAAGAAAATAAAAATCACCTGTGGTTTTACCATTGCCCAGGGTATCCATTAATAGTTTTACATATATTCTTCCAGAATCTACTATGTCTACACATAGAAAAATACTCTTAAAAAAAAAAAAAAACCCTACAAAACAGAATTCTGCATATACTGTTTTTAATTCCTTTTATTATGGACATTTTTCATGTTACTTTTAACAACTGCACAGAAATCCCTTTTTAGGGCTGTCTATATTTAACCAATTTCTTATTAATGGGCAGTCTGGTAGTTTCTTCTCAAACCCAGGCCCTGGAATCAGAAAGCCTAGGGTTAAAAGCTCAGCCCTACTACTTACTACACAATGCAACCTTCAGGTATTTAAATCCATTGCAGAGCCGGGGGTGGGGGGGGGGCGGTGGTGGTGGGAGACACTACACCCACCTTGGAGGACTGTGGTTTAAGCATGGGAAGAGATACCATTTTCAAAGAACACTCTTTGAGCTGCCAGCACCTTGCTCAAGGATACTGAGTCTTCTTCTCAGGGCAGTGGAAGACACTGGGCCTGGTCTATATTGAGTTTTTTTTGAGCCCATACTCCAAAATCTGTGCTGGGAATTTCTTTTCCTTGTTGACCCTGCCCCCACCTAGGTCACCCTCATAGTCCTGAGCCTGAGGGAGAGGTTGAAAAGGGCTGGGAGGTAGGCATCATCATACTCACCAGGGCTGGTAAGGAGGGGATGGGTGATGAGCTGGGAGTTTGGCCGGCCATGTTCAGGGCATTAAACTTGGGAACCACTGCAACACTGACTCTCCGGCGGGGCATGTTCTGTGGGAAGAGACGTGACCAGGCCCATTGTCAGGGAGGGAGCAGCACCCACAGTTCAGAAAGGCCTGGAAAATGCCTACTAGTTCCTGATGCTGTAATTACATTCATTGGGTATTTTGGCTTTGGGGTAGTGATGGTGTTGAGGGTTGGTTTGGAAAGAGTGGCCAAAGTTGACCCAAGTTTTCTGTTAGTGGTGAGTGATTTCTTAACATGTTCTTATTTTAGCTTATATCCTAAAGAAATGGAACAGAAATGACCCCCAGTCTCTGGGTAACACCCTGGAAAGTATATGAAAAGGATAGGAACACCAAGGTTTATGCATCATTCCATGTTCATTTGGGGGATGGTCCAACCAGGGAAACCATGAGGAAGGGAAGGCTGAAGGACAAACTAACAAGTGTGGTAAGCTGAATTAAAGACTCTGTCCAGAGGTTCTCTGGCACCTGTGGATTCAAGTATGAATGACTTTCTGGTGACTATGGAAACTTCTGTTGTAATCCCCCGGGAATCCTGGTATTCCTTGAACATGCATACCTTTCCCAGTGTGAGGGACATGGACCGCGCTGTTCGAGGAACCCCGTCTTCTGCAGCAAGAGGGAACAGAGAAGAGAACTCAGGTAAATTTTCAGAGTAGTCTCCAGCAGAAAACGGATAGCCTGAAACTAAGCTGAGGTATTGATTGGTCAGAACTGGCCCTCAAGGGATAGCCCAAGAGCCTAGGTGTTGGGAACACTAAGTTTGACACTACCCCCTGAGACAATTATCTGCAGAGTGGGGCTTTTCTGGACATAACTTTTATCTTAACTTCTCTGGGCAATATGAGAAACCCATCTTGGGCCTCTGCTATCCACCTGACACACTGCACAGTCTCTGGTAACGCCCCGGAGAGTGTGTGAAAAATTACTTGTAGCAATACCAAGGCTTATTGGGTCATTTTTTGCTCATTTAAGAGATGTACACTCAGGGAAATTATGAGCAAGGAAGGTGTGGTATCTGTAAAGAATGCAAACTTGTTGGCACAGTGGTTACAATAAGTCATCTATAAAACAATTTGGAACAAAGGAAACCAGCACCCCAGGATTTTCAACGTCTTAGTGCATACATTAAGTGATATAATTTATATAAAATGTTTTGCACCACACCTGGATAATACTGCCACCAGAAAACACCAATATGTACAGAGAAAGGTTTTTAAAAGCTCAATTTCAGTTTCAGTTTGACCAATATCATTTAGCTTGTATATCTGTTTATCCCTCTTATCTATGTATTTTCCCTGTTTTTCTATTTACCTCACTTCATTGATTTTTTTTCCTTCCCACCCTTCCCACCCTGCACATTGATTTAGAAGTTATACATTTTAGTTCTAATCTTTAATGTGCCCACTTAAATTTGTAACATATTACGTGACTTTAAATTTTAAATTAATCAAGATTTCTATTCTTTTCCTGATGAAACCTTAAAACAATAACTCCCTCGAATCTAAATTATATTGCTTTTCAGTATTTTTGTTTTACTTTGTATTTGTAATCTAATATTATTATGACTGTTGTTTTATATAATAAATACTTGTTTAGATTTACCCACATTTACAAATGTTTGATCACCATTCCTTCTTGCATCCTACTGCTTTTTTTGATCTCAATTTTGTTTTTCCCTAAGTACATCCTTACTTGTTCTTTTGGCAAGGATCTGTGAGAGGTAAACTTTCTCAGTTGTTGTCTCAAGATATCTTTACCTAGCTTTCAAGCTTGTATCATAGTTTAGCTGGTTATATTTTCTCCAGGTTCATAGTTATTTTTTCTCAGCTCTTTGAAGACTTTAACTTCATTGTCTTTTTTTTAAATTCAATTAATTAACATATAGTGTATTATTGGTTTCAGAGGTACAGGTCAGTGATTCATCAGTCTTATTTAATACCCAGTGCTCATTATATCATGTGTCCTCCTTAACGTTCATCACCCAGTTACCCCATTCCCCTACCCCACTTCATTGTCTTTTGGTACCACTATTGCTATTGAGAATTGTCAGTCTTTTGTAAATCCTCTCTCTTCTCTCTCTGGTTACTTTTAAAATTTTCGCTTCATCTTCGATGTGTTTTTATTTCTTCTTGGAATTCACTGTTCTTTCTGAATCCAATGATTCATGTCTTTCTTTAGTTCTGGGAAATTGTCAGATTCTGGAAAATCTTTTTGAATATTTTCTCTCTCCCTTTCTCCTCTTGTGGATCTGCTAATAAATGTATTTGGAACTTTCTCATTTTATACTCTGTATCCCATATCTTATAATACAACATTTCTTTCATATTTTTATTTATTTATTTATTTATTTTTAAGATTATATTTATTTGACAGAGAGAGAGAGACGGCGAGAGAGGGAACACAAGCAGGGGGAATGGGAAAGGGAGAAGCAGGCCTCCGGCTGAGCAGGGAGCCTAATGCAGGGCCCAATCCCAGGGTCCCAGTATCATGACCCGAGCCGAAGGCAGACGCCCAATGACTAAGCCACCCAGGCACCCTCTTTCATATTTTTAATCAATTTGTCCCTCTGAACTGCACTGTGGGCAACTTCCTCAAATCTGTCTTCAGTTAACTAATTTTTTTCCTCAACTGTGCCCAATCTGATTTAAATGTTGTACCAATAAGCTAGGTTATGCTACCATAATAAACAACCCCAAAGTTTTAGTCACTTATAACAATAAAGATTTATTTCTTCTTTATGTTACATGTCCATTTGCTTCTGAGTTGGCAGCAGGCTCTGCTCTGCATTTCCTCACTTTGGAGTCATATTAATGGAGCTTCTACTATTCTGGAGCAGTGATGATTGTCATGTGAGGAGGAAGAAACATGGGGTAAATTGCACACCAGTTTCTTTCTTTTTTTTTTTTTAGATTTTATTTATTTATTTGAGAGAGAGAGGGAGAGCACAAGCAGGGGGGCAGCAGAGGGAGAAGGAGAAGCTGACTCGCTGCTGAGCAGGGAGCCCAGTGTGGGGCCCAGGACCCCGGGATCATGACCCGAGCCAAAGGCAGAACTTAACCGACTGAGCCACCCAGGCGCCCCTGCACACTAGTTTCTTAAAGGCCTCAACTCAAAGGTGACACATGTCCTTCTGCTCACATTTTATTTGCCAAATCACATGGCATCACCTAACTTGAAGGGAATGGAGAAGTGTGTCCAAAAGGAGAAAATCTGGAATCTCCACTGGAGTAACTACCACCACTATAGTACCTACCACACCTAAACTACTGAGTTTTTAATTTCCATGATTCTGTTCCTCATTTCTAGTTCTATTTTACTCTTTTTTTGATAATTGTATTTTATTCTGTTTTTGATTCATTGTTTGATGCCTCTAATAATTTTTAAACATACCTTTATGTTTTTAAAAAAAGTATCAGATTGTTTTAGTTTCTGCAATCCTTAGGATATAATCCTATTGTTTAGTGTGTCTGATGATTCTTGTTCAAGGTGGATTGTTTTCTTGTGTATTTTATAATTTTATACTGTAAAATCATCTTTAATGAGGCTTTAGTTAGAGGAATCTTGTGTGTCCTGGGTGAAGCATGTGCCTCTCCAGAGTGGCTTTATGTTTGTTTCTGACAGTGTTCCTGCAGACATTATTGTGATGTTCTTTTCAGATTCTCTGCATATTGCACCACAACTTCTGTCATGGCATATATTTTTCCTACGAGAAAGCAGAAAGTATTTTTCCTACTACAGGGTGAAACAGACTTCCTTGATTTGTGTCTCTGCTGTTTGGCAACTGTTTTTTTCTTGTTCAAGTTCTATCTAAAGATGCAGTCCTTGGAAAATCTTAACTTTCTATGGGAGTCTCAAAGTCAACTCTCTGTCATAGGTGTCCAGGATATCTCAGATTGCATGCAAGTGCAAAAGCTCAGCACCCAGATAATTGAAGCTGACTCGTGTCCCCAAGGAAGCTGCAGGTTTCAGTTCTCTTTTCTTTTCTTGTATATGAGTATTTCAATTTCTTTTCCTGTAGATTCAGCTATTCTTTTAGACTAATGTTTGCCTTATTTTATCCAGCAGAAATGTCTAAGTACTTGTGGTCAAGGAGTTTCAAGTTTTCCAGTCAGTCAAAATAGCAGAACCAGAAAATATTTTTTATATGTTGAAGCAGTCATACAAATGAATAAAATGCCAATCTTACAAGCAGGCGAAAGATATAACTAGAGAATTTATAAAAGTGGAACTACAAATGGTCCAGTAAACAATTGAAAAGGTAACAAATACAAATTAAAACTATGAGATGAGATATAATCTTGGCCCATCAAAGTCAAAAATAGTTTTAAAGGAAAGGACAAGAATGTCAATGGCACAGTGAACTGGGCACTATTGTTTCCCATTAAATGGAAATATCAATGGGTTATTTGAAAATAGTTTCCTTTTAAGAGCCTTATAAAAATTTCTTTCCTCCAAGCCAGTATTTACACTTCTAGAAATTCATCTTAAGGAAATAATCCAAAATGTAGACAGCCAGTATGTTTCATATTCAGGAAAAAAATTGATTTTTTAAAATGTGTATCAACTTTCTTTAAATCAGAGATATTTTTATTTCACTATAGTCTTCAGAGTTTCAGGCATAGACAAAGATTTCCAGAAGTCATGTAAAGGCTTAAAAACCAACATTATTAGGGAATGGTCACAGAGTATCCAATGGACACACCTGTTAGGTGGATGCTGGCCCCTCTACACCAGCCCAGGCTGAGAAACAGTGGAATGGGAACAAATGTCTGAAAAACATTTAGTCACCATTTAAGATTCAGCTACCATCTCCCTTCTTATTGTAAGCACTTTGTTATGTCCCCAGACTGAATGTGGGACTCTGCAGTATGCTCCCTATAAGAATCTGCTTACTTTTGTCACTGGCTGGTTATACTGCTCTGCCCTCTGCACCAGCTGGGAGTTCCTTTGGATCTCAGTGACCATGTGCCCTTTACTTCTATATTTAGTATCATGTGGGGCACAACAAAGGAGCTCAATAAATGTCTTTAGAATGAATGAATGAAACTCATGGGTAACTGTTCCTTTCATAAATCCTGGATAGGGCAATTTACAGGTGACCTTGCACCTTCCAGACAATAATGCAAGATCCCACATATTAGGATTTCTTCAGTGGCAACTTCCCCAACTCCCAACACTGACAGAAACTAGTTTCCTATAGGCCCAGATACATGTGGGTCAGGAGTTTTGCTGCCAAGATCAAAAGCAGACAGTCTGGAGCATGTGTACACTGCCTTTGGACTCTGGAAAGTGTCACTGATATTCCCCAGGAAACTTGTGAAACCTCCTGTTTATAAAGGTTTCTCCATCTGTTATACTTTCCCTCCTCCTGCTCTTGGTAACACGGATGTTTGCATTCCACAGAGATTCCTGTCACTAAAAGGTCTGTTTTCTCCTGCTTGCACCATCCTCATCAGCCAGAGCCTAGACCCTGGCTCTCAAGGAGGGATCTTGGTCCAAGGCACCATCCTCCTCATCCAGGATTGCAGCAAGTGCCTCTTGACCTGTCTCTCTGGACCTCAGTGTCTACCTTCTCCTGATGTATTGCCCACTCTGAAGTCAGACAAATCTTCTGAAAATAGAATCTGACCATGTTAGATGGTATAAACTCACCAGTGCCTCCTTATAGCCTCAAGGACAAAGGCCCAAATTATTAGGATGACCTGGCATGTGGCCCTGGCCTACCAAGCCTTACCTTCAACCTGTCATCATCACACTCCAACCACATCAAATCCTTTGTTTCATAGCCTTTCCATTCCAACCCTATATCCTTGTACACACTGTTTCCTCTACCTGGGGTATATTTCCCCCTCTTGCCTGGAGAATGCCTATTTTTACTTTGAAACACTGCCCAAATGCCATCCTCTGTAAAACCTTCCTTGACTCCCTCAAGCAGAATCACCTCTGTGCTCCTATAGCAATTGTATAGACCAATTTTTAAAAGTATTTCTTTAAAACATTTGTCTTTCCCATGAGTCTGCTATTTATCTCAGGAATATCTCCTTTAGCCAGGATCTCATGCCACCCCACTGCCCAGACTCATCTCTCATCTGGACTATTGTAATAGCAGCTTTGTGGTTTTCCCTGTCTCTGGCTATATCCCACTAATGTAGCTGCCACCTTTTAATTGGAGGGAACATTCTAAACTCCATATATGAACATGTCATTTCCCTGACTAAAATCTTTGGTTGGATCCCTAATACTTTCTAGGATAAAGTCCAAAATCCTTAGTATGTGTTGGCCCCAAAGCACAAAGACTATAAGGTCTGGGGTCTGTCCTTCTCATAAAGTAGAGTGAGCTCTTTCAGCCTATGGCTTCATATCAGTGGTCAACTGCTGTGGTTAATTGTGTCAGGAGTTGCTTTGGGACTGTTTATGTTTCCTGGTTCTAGGTCCCTAGGCTCACCAGAACAGCTGCTGTGAGGCCCCTATGGGCAGCACTGGGCAGGACAATGAGCCTTGCTCAACTAGAACTCCTCAGGCTGCACTGATGGATGTGATCCTGGCCTACAGACACCAGGGACCAACATTGCAGGAACAAGATGGGGGCAGAAGCCCAGTTCCTTACCAGAGGGGCCACAGCTGCGGCTTGAATTCTGATTTGCAAGTTTTTTAAACTCCATGAGCTCTGCATGGTCTTTCTCGTACGTCCTCTTCAGATTCTCCACATACTGCATCATTACCTCTGTTGCCTTTGACATGCGCTTTTCCTGCAGGAAAGGAGAGCATGAGCACACAGGGCAATTGGAGGAAAGACTTGTTGGCACTTGTTTGCTCTGAGCTAGCCTGTGGGCTGGGAGAATTAAAAGGACGTAATTAAAAGATGCAGCTCTCCCCTCTAAAAGTTTGCTGTCTGTGATGTGAGCCGAGAGGGGGCTTCGGCACTTGCACTCAGGGAAGATAAGAACAAGCACAACCACAACGCCTCAGGAGATGAGAGGTAGAAAAGTCATCTCTGCTGAGAGATGAGGAAGCTTCCTGGAGGTAGCCACTTGCCTTGAGCTCTCCCTTTGTTGCTTCTCCCGGCCAGAGTGACTTCCTGGGTGTGCTGCTGAGTCAGTGCCCTTTCCCCGGAAGAACACAGGGGTGGGACAGCCCAGTGGCTTGTCCTTCCTTCATTCTACAAGAACTGCTCTAGGCTCTGTCCCAGGAACACCCTGCTGATGCAACCAATGCAGCATAACAAGCGAACACAGTGCTAGCAGCAGTGATAATAACTCTAGGTGCTTTGCAAATATTATGGTAAGCCTATATGACAGACACTATCATCATCCGCATTGGTTGGAGAAGTTGGAACACAGAGAGCTCAATAACTGGCCTGAGGTCACACAGTGAATCCTGGTGGAGCCAAGATTAGGCCTCAGGCAGTGTGATCTCAAGACACCATCCTGGATCAGGGCGCTGCCCTGTGTGCTTTAGGACTTCAAAGTGGCTGAGAGGGAGCCAAACCTGGGCCTGCACCCCAGCTCTGCCACTCACTAGTGCTGTCACCTTTCTGAAGCTTCCTGTCTTCGTTGTGGGGAAAAGATACTTACTTTACAGGGTTGCTGGGAGGATTAAATGAAACAAAGCAGTTTTTCCTAAAAGCATGTTTGCTAAATACTAGTTCCATAGGAGTTGAATAGGTATTTTATGAGAATATAGGTATTTTATGGTTCTTCAGTCAAGTGCATTTAGGAAACACACAGGTAGTTTTAAATAGGTTTCTTCACTATAAGGTTTCTCAAAGCCTTGATGGTGCCAGTATGTATTAGAAATCTCCAAGAAAGGAAGGTAGTACGTAGCAGTTCCCAACTTACATGTTCACAGAAAGCTTTTTCCAAGAAACACCTCAAGGGTTTAGAGGTCCATCAGAAATACTCTTAGTAAAACATAATAATGTACATAGGATGTCTGGCACAGAGGAAGCCATCAGTAAGTGGGATCTGTAGTTGTCATTGCTTACATTATTGCCCTAGTTACTGTGGACAGAGCTGAGCTAGTCAGAGGGCTGGGAGCTGAAGAGGCTTACCTGGCGGACGGCCCCCACCATCTCAGCTCGGCTGGAGAGGCGCGCAGCCAAGCGGTGCAGGACAGCAATATCCTCCAGCAGCTTCTGGTAGGTCTCTCGGTGCTCACAGTGGTGCCATAGTGAAGCTGAGGACTGGGAAGTGAGAAGGAACATCAGCTGGGGTCCTCACATACCAAGACTTGACTTGAGCTGTCACAGACAAGCCCTGGTCCCCATCCTGGCTGAAAAGAATGGCCTCTGCAGGGTCTGGGCTATACCTTCTTCTGGGGATTGGAGAAGCCCAATGTGGACACTATACCTGACTGACCTGAAATAAGCGAATCACATCCAGGTCTCTAGTTCCTAAGGAGCTCTCTTTGCCATCCCAGGTCACCCAACCTCCTCTTGAGAAGCTTCCAAGGACTCAGAGGCCTTATTCACAGCCCCAAGTTAACCAGGCCTTCAGGTCTCTGCCTTAGTTCCTCCGAGCTCTCTGAGGAAGACACTATCTGGCCTGATTTCTCATGTCAGGATACTCTACTTGGTGACTGAGAAAAGCAGGACATCTGGCATAGCCCTAGAAGACAGTCCCTCCTCCATGGATTCCCCCATCAGGCTCCACAATTACCGTAATAGAAGCTTTGAAATTTTCCAGTTCTTTCTCTGTGTTCTCCTCTGTTAGGTTGCGTTCCCTTTCAGCCTGGTTAATTCTAGATTCCAGAGTGTAGCTGTCATTTCTAAAGGCCAAGGACAGTTGTACAAACACATTCTGTTGGGAACAAGAGTATAGGAGAGATGCTAGGAGGAGTTATTACAGGGAACAAAGTCACAGGTGTGTTTCTTGCATGAGCATTTTACATCAGCTCCTGGAACCAGTCACCAAAACAGCCGTGTACAAGTGAAATTCTCCTTTCATAGCAAACTACACAAAAGATGGTGAAATAGTAACCTGAGGTCCATGCTAGGTCCTTTCCAGAACCAGAAGACCAAATGCATTTTACTGAAAAATAATAAGAGAATAACACTTTGCTTTTTCCCGAATTTCAAGAAAATAGCATCCTGTATTTAGGTTTAGGTAAACTCAGGCCAACATAGCTGATTATGTAAGCAGTTTGGATTCATGCTAGGATTTATTGCACATGTGTTTTGGAGGTTTTGCATGGAACCACTGTATTTAAAGAAACTCCATTTAAAATGTAAGTCTTGTTGACTTAAAGCAAACTTCAACCAGCATCTTGCCTGAGTATTATGAATCCTACACAGAAAGCAGCTTTAAGAAGCTACCAGGAGATTAAATAAGGCCAGGTATGATTCTGTTAGGAGAAGTTTTCTGGAACAAATATTCCATGCCAAAAATGCAGGATGCATGAATGAAACTTTGCAAGGTGGACTGAGCAAACATGAAACTCCTGGCATGATAGGAAACTACTGGGGAGGAGAAATAGACAGATGGACTCTACACAGGAAGAAGCAATGGCCTTCATTTTTATACCATTCATTTGCCCTGAGTCAAGTGGTAGCAGATTTATACCCTTGGCGTGAGCTAACTCTGTCTGAACTTCTGAGTTCATGTGATATGGCCCACAGTGGGTAGACATCTCCAGATAGAACTAAAGGCCTTGAACTGACCCAATAACAACATTGATGGCAACATTGGAAGCTACTCCTCATTAAGCATCTACTATATGCTAGCACTGTTGTGAGTTCTGTGCACCTTGACCCTTTCAATCCCACAAAAAGCCTCTGCAATAGGAACTGTTATGGCCACTTTATGGGTAAAGCGACTGAGACCAGAGAGCTCATTAACTTGTTCAAGGTGACATGGAGTAGTAGAGCCAGGATTCAACCTTACACTATTTGATTTTAAAGCCTGTGCTACTGTCACCATGCTGAGCACTGATTGTGTCAGTATACATCTGCAGGTAGGAGCTGGCCATTAAACAAACTGCCCATTAAACAAACTGCCCATAGCCCATCTTCACCAGTGTCAGTGGGTGGGGATTTTCTGTCCTACCCAAGCCTCAGTCCAGTCAAGTTTATCAGTAATGTTCAATGTTTATTTTTCTATACCTGAGTTATCCCCTTCATGGCAGTGTGATATAGAGAGTCCTGTATTTAGTTAGAATATTTGGGTCTAAATGTTGGTTCTGCTAAGCACTGGGTCTGCGACCTTGGGTAAATTAGTTCATCACTTGGTTTTCTCCTTTGTTCTAATTCCTGCTCTACCAATTTCTCTGAACTGCTTGGAAGATCAGTTGAAAGGATGGATATGAGTGTGTAATGAACTGTAAGTGCAATACCTGGGTGCAAGGTAATTATTACTCTCTGTGGCAAACATTTCACATTCTCTTCCTCTGCTTATCCAGTCCATTGGGTCTCAGGAAGGGCATGTTCATTTTCTTATTATCAGTGGCAAACCATGCTACAAAGACTATAAAACCTTCTATTCTCCCAACCTGGAGTAAAGAGAGATTCTGGACTCATCCAGGTTCTTCTTTCCTTCCATTAACTCCAACGTAATTGTCTTGGAAACAAACTAGTGCTGGTGTCGGGGTCCTCACCACCTCACCTGGGATGCACTCTCTTTGTCCATCTACCCTACCCTTTCGCCAGAATGAAATACAGACATGTTCCTCTCAGCTCACTCACCAATCCCACTGGGATAGCATCTCTACAGAAACAAGGAGGCCCCAGGGGAGTAATGGAGGAATCAGGGAAGGCTGGTGAGCTAACAGCACAGCCTCCCACCTTGGCTGAGCTACCTTCCTTATGTCTGGAACCCTCAGAAAGAATCTTCTTCCTCTGGACCAAAGTTGAAAACTTGAAATCTGACCATCTGTTAATAATTTTGAAATAAATTTGATTCAATTCTGTAGCCTCCCAGCTAACTTTGTGTATCTAAGTCATACTTTTAAAGAGCATACACCATCCTTGAAGAAATGTGGAATTTCCAGCTACCTTCTCATCTCTGACCAAAACTGCCAAAATCTTCCATTACCTGGGATGGGAGTCTCAGCAGTTTCAGTAGGGCTGATCACAATGTCCATATTACCCCACAATCACACATTCTTGTTTTTGTACAGAATTGTCAGGGGCAGAGGCTAGAGAAGGGAATGTTTTCAATAAACCTAGTCAAGCCCAGGCACTAAATTTCATAAAGCACTGGAATCACTTACCTCAACTTCCTTTTCAGTGAGTGGAGGGGCACTGTGAAAAAGAAAAGACATGCAAATGAACTATATCCAACCTATGAAATAAACAAAAAAGTGACTTTGAACAACCGGCAGACAATGTCTTTCCAGGAATGTAGTAAGAAGAATTGGTGAAATGGAAAAGATGCAGGGTACCCTTTGTGTGAGCTCTGTAACCATGAGATATTTGCCCAGATATTGACTCCTACAGAGAAAGGGTGGTGGAAAATATTAGATCTTGGCGTCAGTCCTCCATCAGCACCTGTACTATCTGTGACTTTGGACAAGTTATTTAAGTTTGCTCATCTGTAAAATGGGAATAATATCTACCTTGCAGGAGCATTATATGTATGTATACATACATATAATATGTATATATTCATACACATATGACATCCACACACGTATTTATTATGTATGTATGTGTAAATGTGTGTGTGTGTGTACATATTTGTATATACATGACATCCACACTGAGTAGGCATTCAGGAGATGCTAGCTATTATTATGACTAACTCACAGGCTTGTTGTGAGGACTTAGTAAGAAAATGCATGTGCTATATACTTTATAAACTGTACAGATCTGAGTAGCCTTTATAATTTTTTCAGGGCTACCCAGGTCTGTAAAGCCTGACCCTCCTCCTGTCTCTGAGGATTGTGACATAAGTGCACGTAGACCAGAGAATGCAAGGTTGGAAAGGGTGGCCAGAGTTCTTCCCCATAGTGAGAACCTCCTCTGATGGTTGGAATCAGACACCAGGCAAGAAAGTCCCAGCCAGCACACAGGTGTCATTCTGAGAGGTTCCTCTTCATGTATGATTCCCACAGTTAGCAGTCCTTTTTTCTGCACACTCACTTGCTACTGCTGCTCTTGCTGTTGACTAAAGCTAGCCCTGTTCTGAACCCAGACAATGTAAATAATGCACGGGCCCTTTCCTGTGCTGGGGAGGGAGGACTGGGAGGGGTCCTACCAGCGTCACAGGACTTGGCAACAGAGCACACCATCGATAAGATTCTCAGGAAACACAGCTTCCTCCCTCTGACGGGTGTGGAGGGACCCCAAGAGCAAAGGTAGGGGTCAGCTGTCTCTGCAAGGGGCTGGTTCTCACCCCTGACAAAGGACTGTGAGAGCCTTCCTGTGAGGATGAGGCAACAAGACCTGATGGCCATCAAGTCAGCAGAGTACAGAGCATGGGACAAAACAACTGCAAAGATGTTTGATGCTGTATCACAATGCTTGTCACAACCCCACCCATCAGGCCCTTTCCTCTGTGGGTCAGCCAACATAATCTTGACTGTCATATAGAGCACATATTGCTTAAACGAATTTAAGCTGCCTTTGACTCCTGGCTTTATTTGGATAGTATGTGAAACATACTGATTTCATTATTAACCAAACTTACTATTTTGATAATTCACTTTCTGCTTTTTTGCTATAGAACACAAGTTTTCAAATGTGTGAAGCCCTGAGGACTCAAAAAAAAAAAAAAAAAAAAGCCACATAACATGGCCAGCTCCTGATGCAGAGAGCTATATCTTATGAACTGGTATAGACAGCTAGGGGCCAGAGCCATGGGCCTTCAAAAAAGACAGAAGCCTAGCAGGTGATGTACAATGAGGCTATTTGGGATGGCAATGCCTGCCTCAGAATTTAAACTCCCTTAAATAGACCTTAGAATAAAATCAAGGTCTTCTGTGAACCAGCCCCTACCAGACTTTCCTTTTCCCATTCTCCAGACCCATTGACCATTCTGCTCCTCAAACAGACTTCATTGTGGTCCCAGGGGCTTTGCATTTACTATTCTTTCCTTTTTTATCCCCACTTTCTTTCATAAAAGCTTTATTTGAAATATAGTCCACATACCATAAAATTTACCCTTTTATAATTTATAATTCAGTAATTTTTAATATATTTACAGAATTATATAGCCATCAATCTACGATAGTTAGTTTTGGAACTTTTCATCATTCCCCCAAAGAAACGCTGTACCCATTAGTGATCCATCTCCCCCAGCCCCCATTCCCAGCCTTAGGCAATCACTAATCTACTTTCTCACTCTATGGATGTCCCTATTCTGGAAATTTCATATAAATGGAATCATACAACATGTGGCTTTTTGTGACTGGCTTCTTTCACTTAGCATAATATTTTCAAGGTTATCCATGTGGTAGGATATATCAATACTTCATTTTTATAGTTGAATAATGTTCCATTGTATGTATATATCATATTTTATTTATCCATTCGTGGGACATTTGGGTTTTTTCCACTTTCTGGCTATTATGAAAAATGCTGTTTTTGAACATTTGTGTATAAGTTTTTGTGTAGACACATATTTTCATTTCCCTTTGTTATATACCAAGGAATAGAATTGCTGGGCCACACGGTAACTCCATATTTAACTTTTTGAAGAACTGCCAAACTGTTATTCCAAAGTGGCTGCACCATTTTACCAAGAACTCCGGTTTCTTCACATCCTCACCAATACTTAGTTATTGTCCACCTTTTTTATTGTAGCCGTTCTAGTAGATGTGAAATGGCATCTCATTAACATTTTGATTTGTATTTCCCTAAAAACTAATGATGTTGCACATCCTTTCAGTGCTTATTGACACCTCATATATATCCTTTGAAGAAATGTCTACTTAAATCCTTTACCCTTAAAAAAAATTAGTTATCTTTTTATTAAGTTAGAGAGTTCTTTGTATATTCTGGAAATAAATCCCTTATGAAATACATGATTTGAAAATATTTTCTCACATTCCGTGGGTTGTCTTTTCACTTTCTTAATGGTATTGTTTGCATCATAAAAGCTTTTAATTTTGATGAAGTTCTATTCATTTTTTTCTCTTATTGCTTGTGCTTTTAGTGTCATATCTAAGAAGCCATGGACTAACCCAAAGTATTGAAGATTTGTTCTTATGTTTTCTTCTAACAGTTTGATAGCATTAGCTCTACATTTTGGCCTGTGGTCCATTTTGAGTTAATTTTTTGTGTATTGTGTGAGGTTAAAGTTATTCCAACTTTACTCTTTTGCATCCATTCATCCCAGCACCATTTGTTGAAATTACTGTGCTTTTTGTCTGGAAATGTCTTCACCAAAATCTTTGCATGGATGACTTCATTTTGTCATTTGCATGTCTCATATTAATTACTACTTTATTATAGAGGCCTTCCTTGACCCTCTACCCAATGTTCCATTCCTGTGTCATTCTCTGTATGTGCCTATCTCATGGTCTTCTTAGCAGTTTTGCTATCTGGAATTGTTCATTTAGTTACTTGAATATTATTTGTCTCTCTGCCTAGAATGTAAATGCCATAATAACAGTCTGCTTGTTCTCCATTCTAATGTCTGGCACATAATAGGCCCTCAATGACTACTTATTGATTAAGTGCCTATTTATTTCTCCTATTGGTGTTTGATCCAGTGATACGTCCTCTTTGCACTCTTGTTAATCAACTACTGACCATGTCCCTAATATGGGTTCCAGACCTGGTTTTTCTTTCTTTCTTTCTTTCTTTTTTTTTAAAGATTTTATTTACTCATCTGAGACACAGAGATTCAGAGAGAGAGAGTGTGAGCACAAGCAGGGGGAGCGACAGAGGGAGAGGGAGAAGCAGGCTCCTCGCTGAGCAAGGAGCCTGATGTGGGATTGATCCCAGGACGCTGGGATCATGACCTGAGTTGAAGGCAGACGCTTAACTGACTGAGCCACCCAGGCATCCCCAGACCTGATTTTTCTACTGAATTCATTCAACTTGCTGACTCTATGAGCTCCTTTTTGGTATGGTCCAGTCCCAATTCACATAGCCCACATAGATCATGAAACCAATCACTTCATATTAAAACTCAAGTGTAATTTCCCCATATTTTTTCTAAGGGAAGGGATCTTGAAGTTCTGGCTTCCTTCTGCTGGGCAACTGTTTGCCTATCTGTCCCAAGCCCCAAACCAGGGGTAGAGAGTTCTGGGCCCAGCCAAGAGCCTAAGCTGCAAACAGCCTTTACCGAGTCCAGGAGCCAGGAGCCTGTTATAGTGGTTGGAGCAGGGAGTTTGGGGATGGACAATGTGGCTATTGACACAATGCATGAGAGCCACTGACCTCAATCTGAGAGCCTGGACCACAGGTTCAGAAGCTTATCTTAATTCATTGACCATGCAGGCCCACACAGACCCAGTCTGACCTCATGGTTGGTAGCTAGTAGCTATTAACTTACAGAAGATAGAACTGCTCAGTTTCCCTCTCCTGGGGAAGCTGGGGAAATTTAATTAGCTGGAGGTGAGCTCTAACGATACTAATTATCTTCAACTTTACTGAGGAAAAAGAAGCCAATAATACTCTTCACCAGCTTTGTTCCTTAGACTAAAGAGTACCAGTGATAGTTTTGTTACTTGTAACAGGCCCCTGGTATAGATGGAAATGCACTGAGTCTGCAGTCAGCCCAGCCTGAGTTCAATTCCTGACTCTGTAACTTACTAGCATGTTGCTTTGCCTCTCTTCCCTCACTGAAGATAAAATCTTCCTTTTCTGCCCCACTGGGTTGTTACAAACACCAAAAGGCACAGCATGTAAACATGCTCTGTAACCTGCAGTGCGCTGCCATGCTTCTCCTTCGGTTTCCTGACTCTGGACAGCCCCACTCTGCCTTCCCTGAGATGAACTGGCCACACCCATGCCCTCCTCCAGCTGTGGTTGCAACCTGCTTCTGACTTGTTTCTGGCACTTTTCCTGATTCTGGCTTAGTTGCTAGGCCCCTCTGGGCATTGCCCTGATGACTGTTTTAGGTGATGATAATGGGCAGTTTGAATATCACATCCCCTGGGCAAAACTTGTTTTCCTTTCCCCCAAATCAGGGAGTTCTGTTATGTCTGATTTCTCCTCCTAATGGCCTTTCCCAGGCGCCCAACAATTTAGTCTCTAGGTTACTTGAGCTTGGCAGGATGCCTCAGTTGCAGGCACCCACCCAATTCCTATTACTTAGTGGTACCCTCTCTTCTCTCCTTTATATTCCAAACTATTCACTTTTTAATCCAGTTATCAAGGGTCTATCATGTGCTGACATGGTCTTAGGTCCCTGCTTGCACACTGTCTCTTTTAGCTAGTGCAGCCTTCTACAATGACAGCACACTTATAACCTCTGTTGTATAGGTGAGGAGGCTGATGTTAGGCAAGTGAAGTCACTTTCTCCCCATGTGTGGAAGAGCCTGGTAGATTTTCCAAGCAATCCTTCTTCGTGTGGTTCCAAATGTTCTACATCTGTATTTATGCAGATATCAGACCGAGAATCTCTCAGTTATGGGTCAATGATAGATCTCGGACTGAAACCATTTCTCCTGAGCCAAAGTCCACCACCCTCTGCAGCCATGAGCCTCTGATGATACCTCATGCCCACCAATAAAACCCACCCGCTCTGAGTTAGAACCACCTTATGTGGCTCTTTGTTATTCTTTTTATTTTGGATGCATTAGTCCTGTCTGGACCATTAGACTTTGACCTTTCTGGGGTCAAAAATCAAGGCCCATGCTCCACTATGTCCCATCTAGAGTCTAACACGGGGCCTACCCAATACAGTGTCCTATACAACCCATGCCCTAATTTTACCTTCCAGGGAGAGACCTGTGGACCCTCAGTTTGCGCAGCAGCATATCAGAAATATTGGGCATGACATCCAAGCCACTCTTTGACTCTTCTTCCTCAATAGCTGAGGAGAGTTCAGAAGGGAGCCCTGAAAAAAAACAAAGTGCTTAACTTATAAAATGTCTGAAACCACAGTAGCATTGTTGGCACCTTGCTTCAGTTTATAAGAACCTAATTATATGCTAGGGGCTTCATCATTGTTATCTTATCTTCACAATGATCCAATGAGCTAGAACTTAATCATCTCATTTTACAAGTAGGTAAGTCAAGACTCAGCAAGGTTAATAACTTAAAGTCATAAAACTAGTAACTGGCATAGTCAGACTTCAAACCGATTTCATCTGCTTTAAATTCTAGTTCTTCCCATTGCTCCCCACAGTACCAAGCAGACTCCCGTGTTTGGGGTTCAAGGTTGGTTTCTGGCAACTGAAAGCTAGTTGTTCTTTAGCTATAATATTTGGAAAAGTCCCCTTTCTTTGGCAGGCTTCTCGGGAGGCCTATTGCCCAGTTATTCTTCCTAGTGGTTCAATCACTGGCGTCCTACCTAGAAATCTGATTCCATATCCCCAAACATAGAAATAGAAACAGTGTTTTTCCAGGGTAAAGCTAAGATCATTAGATCTTTTACAGATCTCAGAAATAGGTGCCTCCTAGCTAAAAGAACCAATGAACAGCCTTTTGTTATCTCATAAAACTACCCTGGGTCTGTGCTCTGAAAGCAGAAAGAACCAACCAAGTATTCTCTTTCCCATAAATCTTTCTCCTGTTTGAAGACAGTTCTTGTACCTCTCTAAAGCTTCCCTTCTCCAGGCTTTACCCTTGTTTTTCCAACTGCTGGTTGTCACCCACTATGGCCTGTGCCCTCTAGATATCATCCCCTTCCTGCACACATTCTGGTTGTTGCTGTGCCAGATATGCTCTAACAAGCACTTAACTCAGGAACACGTGGGCAAATGTCCCTGGCATTAACTTTTGTTATCCATGCAGGGTAGACTCACTGTACCTTACTATGGGCTTATGGTACATTTAGGATTAAAAGCCTCAAATCTTTTACTTGAGCCAAATTAGGTATCTTCATCCCGCAGTTATCCATGTTCTACCATCTCTCATGGGCAGGTTTCCAACCAGCTCAGTCATTTTCCAGAATTGTAGGCCAGGCCAGAGATCGGGACTAGAGGCATACTTGTGGTAGCCATTTAAGTGCAGCTAAGATTGGGAGTCATGTGAGTTAGAAGTTTCTCCAAAGGAGACCATGCAGAGAGAAGAGGAGTTATAGTTTGGCTCAAGGTAAAGAATATTTAAATATTTTGAATTTCCCAATAACAGAACAGTGTTCAGGAGTTTGCTGACACTCAGGGTATCCTGGCAATGTCTGGAAGGCCATCTGTCAGAAATGGGGTAGTCAGTGATCCTTCTTTGGATATAAGATTGGATTAGATGTTCTCTTAGCTACCTGTCATCTCTTGGGTTCTGTCCTGGCACTTACTGCTCTCTGACATTTCCATGTGACAGATGATAAACCTTGTGGTGCCCCTGGCCTTCCTATACCTTTATGTATCCACACAGCACCCAGCAGAGAGATAATTAAGCAGTGGACTCCTGAGAAATCTATATGATTAATTGAGCCATACAAGAAATAATAATCAAGTAAAAGCCATAACAGGGGCTTTTGCCTAGAGAAGTTGCCTAGTTTGAGCCTCCCCTACCCCACCAAAAAAATAACTAGTTAGGCCTTCTAGTTCTGATAAGATGGCTATCCGAAGGGTGATCCTAGAACTTGTGGATCCTAAACCAGCCACCCTCCTCCTGAAGTCAACAATTACAAAAAATTTTAAACCAACCATAAATATACCAGCAACTCTCAAATATAAGAAAAGGCAATCATCTTTAAAAATAATGGCTAGAGAAGACAGAACTTCCTAGGAATAAATGTAGAGCTCCCACCCTTGACAGCCCTTTCTTCTTTCCTCAAAGAATCATTACTGAGAGGAAGATGTTAAGAGGAAGAATTCTGGCAAGAGTGTAATACCACAGAATGAGAAGGGAAGTAGACTGAGGGGGTGAGCAGGCAGCCTCCAGAGGAAATTCAGAAAGTTTCTTCAGAAAGGAAGGATCTCCATGCTACTACAACAATACTCCAACAAGGGAAAAAACTGCCTGTGCTGCTATTTGCTTTTCTTACTGAGTAAGAGGGGAGAGGAAAAGCAGAATGATTGCACAGCATTCTACCAGAGCTGATTATCTCAAACAATATGGAGGGATTTACCAGAAAGTAAGACAAAAGAAAAAATAAATAAAGCAAGCCCATCCAATAAAGTGCGGGCAGGAGACACATGGAAAGCCCCAGTTGAAGCTGCCTCTTACTCCTGACCACCACTTTTGAAAAATAGCATAGTGACCAAACTCCTTGGATTTTGTCTACTTTTTCCTTCCTCTGTCTGGCAGGGGAGTGAGAATGGCTGCTGGGAATAGTTGGGCCAAGTCTGGAAAATAAACACCTGGGCTGATTGTCTCTACAATTCTACCCTGAATTGGGAAAATAATCTATAATCTACTACTACTTACCCAAAAGAATAAGATATGCCCACACTGTGGTGTAATAAACTCACGTGTTGGAGTATGAACAAAGTTATAGAAAAAGAGTAGAAACCAATCCCACAAACACGACTGCCCACAGCTCCATCTGAACTTCCCCTTTTCCCCACTACCCAAGCAGTAATAAAGCAGACACAAAATACCCAGTCTTCAGCTAAGCACTGCAAGAAGACAGAGATCTCAGATAAAGTAGGAAGGAGTCAATGAAAATTGACCTTTACAATACATCTAGGTGAAGAGAAAATCCAGGTGAAAATATCCATATCAAAAAGAAATAAAATGAAAACAATGTCATGGCAACTACATGGCAACTAAGAAAGAAAGACTGAAGTATTTAGAGATTAAATAATGGACCTGTAGTTGAGATATTGGTGAGAAATTTACAGATTGTGGTGTCTTTGAACTAGTGAACAAAACAAAAGGAGCAATGAACATATTCAAAGATACAGGAGAAGAAAATTTTCCTCACTTGAGGGAAAAGCTGAACTTGCAGATTGAAAGAGCATGTCATGTTAAGGGAAAAAAAAATATATATATATATTTCTTTATCCATGTATATGTATAAAGAAGTGCTTCTCCAACTGCCCTCATGGAAAGAGTAACCCATCTACAGGGAGAGGTGGAGGTTGAGGGCTGCTGGAAATCAGCTGGTCTGACTTCTCTACAACATTAAATACAGTGTAGCATCTACCAAGTTCTGAGGGAAAGAATGACCCAGAATTTAAAACTATCCAAGCTGTCCTTCAGGAATAAAGATAACATTTTTAAACATAGTAGAATTCAGGAAACAGCACCTCTGAGCCCTTCTAGGAAAACTATTGGATAATAAAATCTAGCTAAACAAGACATAAATCAAAATCATAAACTAGGGAATGGTGAGCGATCGTAAAGAGACTGATGGTCAGCATTAAATCCTTTTACATATAAGCTTAGGGCTAACCAACTATGGAAATTATAGTTACAGAATGGAATGTAAATGTTAAAGCCTTGACAGTAAAAAAAGAATAATTTATCATTTGTATATGTGGAGTTGGAAGGATGGGAAGAAATATGAAGGTGGGAAGAAATGCTGTCATTTTCATCTTTTCCCATAGGAAGTCAATAATCCAAATTTGAAACATGTAATGTAAAAAAAGTACCTCAATGACTCCAAACTCTTAATGCATTTCATAATGTATATTTTAAAACTTTTAAAAACTAATCTCTATTCATCTCTCCCTCCAGGTCCCCCCCCCCCATTTTTCCCTTCTTTCTCCTAATGTCGTCCATGCTATTCCTTATGTTGGAGGGAGAGATGAACCATGAGAGACTATGGACTCTGAGAAACAAACAGCGTTTTAGAGGGGAGGGGGGAGGGGGGATTGGTTAACCCGGTGATGGGTATTAAGGAGGGCACGTACTGCATGGAGCACTGGGTGTTATATGAAAACAATGGATTGTGGATCACCACATCAAAAACTAATGATGTATTGTATGGTGACTAACATAACATAATAAAATTTAAAAAAAAAATAATCTCTGTTCTCTGGAGGAAGAAATTGCCAAAACTCAGTAATTCCCACAGTTTTACTCTGCTTTAATTCAAGTTCAATTAAATTTTCATACTTTTTATCTAAAATAAGTACATCTAGCAATAGAGCATAATCTCCTTCCTTCCTCCCTTCCTCCTGAATTTGTGCGGAAGAGGGCATTTGTTAGAAGCTATATTTACTTTCTTTGTATTTTTCACTATTAGTTGAATATTTTGATAATGTGCAGGAGGTATTTTAACAGAACTATTTTAAACATATTTGCCGGTATTAGCTCGTTCCAATGAAAGCATTTGTTTCTGGCAATCTCCAGGACTTAGAAAAATAACTTTTGGGACTTCTGATTAAAGATGCTCTGAGACTCAGGATGACCCGCAAAAGGCCAAAGCTACTGGTCGGGGATAAACTTTCCTCAGATTGATCTTCTCAAGGAGGCCTTTTCCCTGTCTGAGATCTGAGGGCTCTGAGCTCAGACTGGGGGTGTCTAGAGGGACTTCCCACACCTCTCTCAACCTCCATGTCCAGATATCCAACCACTTTCTAGACGTTGTCCCTTGGATCAAGATGATGAAAACAATTTCAACAGCCACCATTATCAAACATCAACTTGCATTAGATGTAGTTTCTCATTCATTCCTTACAACAGCCTTGCAAGGCAAATACTGCTAAGCCAATTTTCTGCAAACTAGGAAACTTAGGCTCAGCTAAGTTAAGTAGATTTCCCAGTGTCCCAGCTAATTAGTGGTAGAACCGGATGCAAAACTAGGTCTGCCAGACTGGGGCATCCAAGCTGCTCTCCATGGGCATTCAACACAACACATCCAAATCCAATCTTGCTGTCTTCCTCCTCAGGTGAGCTCTTCCTCCTGTTCTCCCCATCCTCGTTAATGACACCATCACCCACCTTGGCCATGTGGACACACACCTGGTTGTCTTTCTGGTCTTCCCCTCTACCTGTCTCCTC